CAGCCTCGGCATTGGCAGACCCCGGAATTTGGTGAGCTTTCAGCTGTACGGAGTAGCTCCACAGGGGTTGGGGGCTGCAGTTGATGAATAAGAACACCGGGCATGGCTATCCATCTTTGGAGACGATGCCTGGTGTCAACCAATGATGATGTTGAGAGCACTATAGCTGGAGAATAAGAGGGCTGAGGAGCGGGAATTGAGTTTGGATGATCCCAAGTTGCGGCATGATTCAGATCAGATCCCTTACATACATGTACATACACTCAGGCTACCCGAGACTGATGCATCTTATCCCCGATATCTACACTCTACGGACGTTAATAATGAAAATAACAACACCTTACAGTATTTGCGAGCTCAGGAGTTGATGCTGCTGCTGGCCAATGGGAATGAGCTGCATTGTGCTTATCCGGGTAGGTATTGACTGACTCTCCATCAAGATACAAGAATCCCGCCAAAACCACCCTTTCACGTGTAAGCGATACTAATACCTACACGTACAGCCACACGTCTGTATTATTGCCTTGAGTCTGTTCCAAGGAAATCCATCTCCACTCCACCAACCAACTCCAGCCACCGCCATCACAAGAGGCAAAAAAGCAACAGCAAACACTCGCCCAAATCCTCAACTAAGACCAGCCAAATCCCACTCTGCAAAAAACGGCGTCGCGTTAGTCGATGCTTGGACAATGATTCAGCCCCGAGCTTATTTCCAGGGCTGCCACTCGATTGCGTCACACCCTCTTGATTCAGGGCATTCTGGAAGCGCCAAAACTGGGAAGCCCTGGACAAGGGGCTTCTGCATTCGAGGTGGATATCGATGGCTTCCCTTCAGATCCCTTTCTCTCCCTCTTCACTCACCGCATTCCATCATTTGTCTCATCATCCTTCTCTACAACACGTGCTGTATTATTACACTCTTTCAGTGTTATTATTCAAGTGGACGTTTCGCTACGACTGACGAGCTTTCGTCGTTTCTCCTTCTGTTGAGACAAACTGGTTGAAGCAGGCTACTAACTTGCAGCATCTACGGGGCACAGATTGATGTCATCACCGCTTTCTTAACGGGCATTCATGAGGCACTACAACCGCAATTCAGCAACTATTCCTCCTTCTATGGCTTTAGGACAGACAACTTCGACTTTAGGACAGACAGTATCGACTTTTAGACAGATAGCATCGACCTACACACGTAAACTTCCTTATTAACAGCACTCAGTTGGGTCAAGATGGGCCACAGCGAGGATCCTCCTATCCTCCCACGGCGCGACACGTCTTCGTCTCGAGCATCCATCGAGGTCGCGCAGCAGGCCGTCGATTTCACCAAGCAGTCTGAGAAGCTTTCACATCAGGCATTGGAAAATGCCTCCCCGGCAATTGCTGTCCAGGCGGACTTCATCACGCCGCGGGACCCCGTCATTGTCACCTCGGATGGAAACCGGTTGCCAGGCGTGCCCCTGGAGGAAGCCCACAAGCTCAACGTGCTGCGCGAGGAACTACAGGGCCAACTGGACAATGGCAGGGCTAAGAAGCAGGCAGAGGCGTCCGAGTCGGCTGAGCATCACCAGTACGAACGTAAAACCGAGCAGCTGCATGACGGAGCCCGCAAAGTCCATGACAAGGCCCATGCTTGGCGGCGAGCGTCAAAAGGAACACTGACAGACACCATGCCGCCGTCACATACGAACCCTTTATTCCCACCTCT